ATTCTCTCTCCTTGTAGTCGTGGTTGTTCTGTTTCTAAGGAGGTGCAGCACTTTTTTTTGAGCCCACAGTGTGTAAAAAAGAGATTCAGAGAGTTAAAGTTTCTCTTGAATACATTTTCAAGCCTCGACTATTTGGACACGTCCTGAGTTGTTGCTCTCAGCATCGTGGATGGTTCAGGGCTTCACCTGCTCAGGCAGCTTTAACCAGAGGTGTTAAAGTTTCAGTGTGTAAAAATACTCAAGTTGAAATCACTTGTTTCGTTTGGCTGCACCTGGCTGGTTGCTTTTCTTTAAACCAATCAGGGATCTTGTGCGTTGCTAAGCCCAGGATGCAGCAACAGTGTCCCTGCTAAATAGGAACTGGAGAAGTGTTTTGATGGAGCATTTGCATGAGCTGAGGTGACACCTGTCCACAGAAATAAGCAGTCCTGTGTTATAGCCAAATAAAGACGAACCCTGCCGCTTTCAGAGCACATGTTGCTGCTTGGAGGCTGTTGTTTCCCGTAATGAACAGGTAGTGGGAAGGGAGGAGAATGCTGCATATGAAGCAGGCAGGCTTCTGACTGCAGTCTGCAGAGAGTCAGACTGAGGTTACAGTAAACTGAAGGAGTTCATCGTGAGGTTTAGGTTACAACGCAAAAGCTCTCGCATGTGCAGAAGTACAAGTGTGAGTAAATAGGTATATGCTTGTGTGATTTGGGAATACAAGCCAAATCCACTGAATAGTATATCTTGTTTGTTCAGTCTGCAAAGGCTGCGAATTGTTTTTATGTATCCTGAGTAAACAGTAGCAGAGGTGCTATTTACTCTGAACCTGTTGAGGAAAGCCAGAGGCTCTGTGTCTTTGGGTTTATTATGCAAATACGCTCACGGATTAGTTCTCTGCCCTTAAAGTAATACTTTCACTTCTTCGAGTTTAATCTGTGGGGAGAGAGGTGAAACCATAAAAACTGGAATAATAATTACCTCGCATAAAAATGCCCTCAGTGCTCTGCTGAACGCTGAGTTCAGGCGTCGCGGGTTGCACCGCCGTCACGCCGGTTAACAACGTGTTCATGTTAGCCGGTGTGTTGATAACATTCACAGTCACAACGAAACACCGTCGCTGTCATGTTTGGGTTCGAGCACACAACAGGGTTTTAGCTTCCACTTAAGATAATGAGACCATTTGCTGTCTCGCAAAGCAGGTAAGCAACCAGCTGTGATGCTGAGAGCTCCGTGTTGTTTGTAAAGAGAGAGTCGAGGCGCGTATGAATAAACATCAACCAGCCACAACATTAACATGACGTTACGGCACAACGCTCTGCTCTTTGTGTGGATGTTACTGAGCATAACTGCAGACCAAGTGCTCCTTTCCTTCCGTGCTATGCTTGAAAAACTGCTCAGGAGCGGCTCGAGGAACACGAACAAGAGCTCAAGGTGTTGACTTGGCCTCTAAACCCCCCAGATTCCAACTCGATCGAGCATCAGTGGGAAGTTTGATCCACAAAGGCTCAACCGGGCAACACACAGAGCCTTTAACTGGATTTACTCGTATACAAGCTTCAGATAAGTTTAGTTTGTGACGTAGTTTGTAGTTATGGATCGATCGTAATCTGCAAAGTCTCCAAACAAACTTAGAAGCCGCACAGGAATTGCTTGTTTAAGAGCCTTCACCTTCACCTCATTTGATTGAGTTTTGTAGAAATAAGAGTCAGACGAAGACATTTTCAAAATATTGTGCTTCATCCAAACAGGAATCGGCTCACGTCTGGCATCCTGTGTCTAAATCTGAGACGCAAACTGTTTTTTTTTTCACGCGGCGTCATTGTGCGGTGAGCGTACTGTAATTAGGCCTTAGGTGAGGAGACAGAAGAGATAGAAAAGAGCCCATCAACACTTACAATATGCTCATCAGCCTTCTGCTGTCTCGACACAAAGCTGCCAGCGACACACACACACACACACACACACACACACATAAGCAAAAAATTAAATATGCACTCGCTCACTTATGAGCAAAGTCGCACACATCAGGGCTGCAGGATATTGACGAAAAATTTTCTGCTGAATAATGCACCTCAGAAATGAATGCAATATTTTGACAGCGCGTCTCCACAGCTGTTTGCACTGTTTGTGAAATGTTAAACAAACAAGTCGAGGCAACGGCATTAAGCATTGTTACTGTCAGAACAGAGTTAAACATCAATACGGGAATTTATCTACCTGACTCGTAATAAATAAAGTAGAAACACACGCTCCTCTTTCTTTCAGTCGTCATAAAACCCAGTTACTAGAAAAGATTTTCTTCCTACAATCCAGGTAATCGCACCACAGTCATGACCTTTACAGCTCCACGTAATCTAAATGAAAGCTTTATTATGATACGTCTGTTTGCCTGACGTCCTGAGGTCAGCTCAGCAAAGCAGATGAAGTGAAGGAGTCTCCGGCTTTACTTAGTCCAACATTAATAGTCACGTTTATTAAATGTGCAGCGTGGAACCAACTCAGAGGTTGTTTAGAGGTCAGGGTGGGTTTGATCAGGAGTCCTCAGGAGGAAGAGGAAGACAGACGAGAGGAGCTTCACAGCGTGCTGTGTTCAATACATTCTTACTCTGATATCCAGGTGTCGTGTCCTTGACAGGATTCTGGATCTGTTGTCAGAAAATATCCAGCAGCACAAAATCAGGTGAAACTCACGTCTCAGAGAAATCCAGTTGTGTCCAGAAGCTGTTGAGTAACTTGTGCACTAATTACACCAGAACAGACCATAAGGGGCAGGTCACTCTCTGGAGAAACACCTTCTATCAATCACCCTTCATGGTTTTCAGCATCTGGAGGACCTGCGGGTGCTCCTTCGGCTCTGCAGTTTAGGGATTAAAGATGCCACATTGCAGAGGTTTGGACGTGAGTCAGCAAATTTGTTCGCTTCAGGCTGACAAAATCCAGGCACGTGGAAGAGACGAGCGACTGTACTGTCCTGGTACCAGAACCAGCTCCGCCTGGTTTAAGGTCTGCTCTGATATTTCGCTGTAAATGCCGTGACTTCTCCTCTTCATCCGGCACTTCCTGCCTCTTAATCATCCGTCGTCATGGCTTCATTTTTCAGCCAGAATGCCAACAATAGCTCTGTCTGCTGCCACCTGCTCCGAGTTCAGCACCTGCCCAGCAAACCTGGGCGCATTAAAACCTTCTAAAACCCAGCTGTAATGATTATTTAACCTCCTGAACCCCAAGTAGCTTCAGGGGCATTTTTTGCTCCTGTCACATTTTTCACTTCAGTATGAAGTCCTCCATCTCCGTGGAAACAGAAGAACCAGGAAGAAGGAGAGCAGACTCAGAAATGTCATTAATTACACAAAGAAAACAAGTGAAAACTTAATTTCTTTGGATATTTGTTTTAAATAAATCTAAAAACCTGGAATCAAATGCTTGTTACCTCTCTGCTGTGTGTGAACACAGCCTGCAGTTCATCCCAGACGTCCCTACATTGTTGTCATGTGACTGTTTGTTGCAGCTAAGTCACTGATGGATTCATGGTTGTGCTAAAAAGTGCATCATTTTTAGTTTTTCATAGAATCTGGTACAGTGAAATGTTTGCTTTATAAATTAGATGTACAGAATAAAGTGATTTTGATTTGGTTAAGTTCTCTGATTGAACGGCACGTCACAGATGAGTTCTAAATCTGACAAGTCTTACTGTCTTTGTGGTCTCTGATTGTGATTAATGATGTCATTTTGGCAGTTTTCTTCAAAGATAGCATGCCTTCAGACCCACCGATGGGTTTTGGAGCTGACACAGGTAACGTCTCTGATCCACTGTTTCTTAAAAGATTTTTTTTTTCAACCTCCAGAAGCACGAAGCAGAACCAATCTGGCCGGTGCCGACATCATTCAGAGACAGAACAGCTATTCTGGCCGGGTTCAAATTACACGTAAAAGCCAAAAGAAGCCTTATAGCTTAATAGTATGAGGTGTCTAGAGTGTGTCTGCGCGGAGCAGCGAGGAAAGAACAGATCGATGGGTTACCGTGTTAATGAAAAATGATCAACTGCCCGAAAGACACAAATAAAGTTCCTGCTTGTGTTTGCACATTTTGTTGTTTTTGCTGTAAATGTCAAACAGCACTTGGTTGTTGTTGTTTTCTTCTTCTCTCCCTGCAGTGGAAACACAGTTTGCTAATTATTTACAGTATCATTTATGCTAATTAAGTGTACAGCTCTGTTTTTTTATATTTAAATGTCTGGTGCACGTCACACACGTGTAGAATCGACGGTGTGTCTTTGTATGTATGAATATTTCAGTGGGGTTAAAGAGCCTTTATGCAGATCAGCTCTTCCCTCCTTTAGCACGGCGTCAGGGTCATAATTCAGTGTTGGAGGGAAGAATATCATTACGTTCAAACAGCAGCTCTGTAAGGCTCAGCTTTCCTCTGATGTGTGTGTGTGAGTGTGTGTGTGTGTGTGTGTGTGTGTTTTACATCAAAGCCATAGAAGGCTATTAATAGGGCCGCTAATGGACTCTAATGGTAAATAGCCACATCAGCACTCAGGTTTTTGACGGTGTAGTGAATTTATAATGGAGGGACGTGATAACAAAACCTAAGTACCTTCTAACTCTCCTTTAATTGTGGTCGAGGCTGGTGCAATATACAGATTTTATTTTAACTTGGGGACTAACAAGCATGTGATTCATGAGGAGACTCAGCTTGGTGATAAGCTGACCCTGGTGGGACAAGCTAATGCTTCACCAGCCCTCCTCAAACTCTGACTCATCAGGAGAAGCGTGCGGAGCCATTAACATCCAAAAAGCACTCTTAAGTAAATACGCTTGGTGAGAGGATGGACTTAATTATCCCGAAAGTCGGTCCGTGGTAATAACTGGCAGCTTTCCCTCTGCAGGTAACGCCATCCAGGCCTTCGGGAACGGGACGGACGTCGGGGTTTGGCAGCCGATGTCCCCCGTCCAGACCACCACCTCCACCACCACCCCCTACCAAAGAAACCGCGAACGCAACCCCAACACCATCGACAACCACATCAACACAGATCCCGGCATCTACCACTTCTGTGGCAGCCTACAGGTGAGTCAGACGATACGAATTCTCTGATGCAAAAGATGTTCCAGAAAGTTTTAGCAGTTGACTCAAAGTTACCTCTGCTTTTTATCTGATGATCTTTCCATCCTTTTCTGTCAGCCTCGCTATCCAAATATCTGCAGTGTGTGCTCATCTAGCGCCGCTATCTCACCCCCGGTCTGTTTGGTAAACGCTGTATTTCCCCTTCATCGTCTGGCTCACTCTCTATCTGTTTCTACTCTCAGACAGGCTTCATTTGTTTATCTGGAGCTGTCACAATACCAAACATATCAAGTTAAAGCAGTGAATTAAACACGAGAAACAGAGCGAGGGTTGTTCGTAAAGCCAAATGCACTCAGAATTAACACAGAACTCTGCAACCTAAAGCTTCTTTCAGCTCATTTCAGTTCATCCTAGCTGTATGAAAGCGCATCGGCATTGACAACAATTTGCAGCAAACTACTTCAGAGTGTCGCATCCAGCAGGGGGCGACTCTTCTGTTTGCAGAAAGAAGTCCGATTGGCTCAGAGGGATGATCCTGCTTCTCACTAGATTTGTTACCTCAGTGAGCGTTTTCCTAATGAGAATATGGTCTCAACTGCTAGTTTTAAGTCTCCTTCGGTTCAGCATGGTGCTCGTTTAGTAAATTATGGTCCCCTTTAGAGGAAAGCAGGCGATGAACAGGGTAGATTTCATGGCCTAGTTGCCTCTGTGCGGGCGAGTCCTCAGTCAGATCTGCCCTTCAGTCATCGATTCTGGTTTCAGAGATGGTGACGGACAAATTCCAAACCGAGACTTAAAAATAGGAATCCACACGGCAGTAGGTGACGCCATCCTTCTTTATACGGTCTGTTGTCTGTTACACAAAACCATCTGAGAAGCTGTCCTCGCAAAAACGTTTGGAAAAGGCCACGCGCCTTCAGATAGCATTCTTGGCAGGTGGTTGGATGAAGCATCTATTGTGGTCTACCTTCAGCTAATTGGATCAGTGAAGAGAGAGAGAGAACGCAGAGCAAAAGAGGTTGTGAATGTTGGCCTTGGATTTGTCAGGTGGACACAAACAGAGCTCCAGTAGAATGACTGAACTACTCGTATAAGTACACGGCAGTAGTACAGGCACTGTAATACAGCTGCAGTACATGAGCAGGATGTGGAGTCAATCAGAAATCACAGAACAAGCTTGTATAACCTGTCACCGCTTTTCAGACCTTTAAACTGTAAAAGAACAGAAAGAATGATCAGATTTCCAGCCATCAGATGGTCCTTGATCTGCCCATCTGGGACGTGCAGTTCCATCAGGAAACTTAAGCTACGTGAAAAATCACCAAAATAAACTGTTTAACCAGATACTGGGAAAAAAAACCCAAAAAATCTGCAACCAGGAAGTGACTCATCAAACACTCTGATGATGAACCAGGAAGCTGTTTAGATCGAAGGCGTGTTTAAAATGTAAGCAGTAAAACATACATGTAGTGTGTAGAGTTAGGATTTTAGACATCTGTGGGCAGTTAGAAAAAATGTGCACACTGGATTTAGGTTTTCTCAGCTCTTGTCAATAATAAAAATATTTAGTGATTTATGGTGATAGGACTTTGTTTTAGTGCACAGAGGAGTTTTCTCTTCTTCTAGCCATTGATGTGCTGTTGCCATAGAGGACTTGTACTGCAGGAACAAATAAAACATCCAGAACCTGCTCCGGGTTTAGAGGGTTGATATCAAAAGTAAAACATTCATGTAGTTTGTTGTCATTTTTCCAAAGCAGTTTGTAAAATAGATCCTATTGTTGCATTAACAGATCACTTCTGTAAACTCGTCTTCTGCAGCGTTACGGCATCAAAATATGACTTAATGTCATCCATTTTTCCTCCACCTGCCCTTTTTTCTGTATTGGTTCTGGATCGGCCACTGAATCATCGCAGCCGACTCGTGTATACAACCGTGTAGCTGTACGCCGCCTGCCCCACTGCGCCCAATAAGGCTGCCAAAGTGTGTTTCTCAGTCGGAGCAGCCACTCCTGCTCTGCAGGAACAACGCTTATGTGGCTGATGAAACAGGGGGATCACTCGCAGCAATCCTGAGCACCGGTGACGGGCTCCTCCTGGGTCAGGGAGGAAGCGAGGATAATACTGTCATTACTGGCAGAGCGATGACAGGGGCTCCGAGAGCCGTTTCACATGTAATAACACTGCAGCAGCCGATGCAGCGCCGTAAAACCGCCAGAGTTATTGTTTACAGACGCTCACGGAAAATCCTCCCGCAGCTTCCAAACAGGAATCCTCCTTCATCATTCCTCTGCTGCAAACATAAATGTGAACCATAAACCTCACTGTCCTTATGTTTGTGTGCTTTTTGTTTATGATGCTTCCACGTTTGTGTCTGACTTGTTTTGTGTTGCTCTACCGGAGCTTAACGCGGTGGTTTGTGTTTGCTGCTGGTCTGGAAAGTCCCAGTCTGCAAATATTTAAACGTATAAACATGTACGAGGTGGTTTTCTTCACTGAAACTTGTGTTATGAGCTGAAGGTTGGCTTCAGTGGAAGAAAAGGTAAATAATTTTATCAGCTGATTAAATTTGGATGGTAATTTCCGTCACTTATTTACACATCCAGCACAGACAGTCATACTTGTGACCACCTGACAAAGCTAAGTCTCACATTAACTCTTCTGTTTGCTCCTAATTACCTTCTGAAGTGCAGTTTGTGTCCGTTTAGCTGTTAAAAGCAGCACCGTGTTCACCAGCCTCTTCCTAACGCTGTCCTTCTGCACTTTGATGCTGATTTATCACCACTTTGACTGCTATGGGTTGACTACCACAAAAAAACTAAACCACAGCAATCACGAGTCGTAAAACCACGACAACGAACTCAAAGACTCCAAAATGATTCTCCGACTTTGTCATTTTCAGTGACTCCGTTCTCATTAAGAGATGTCGCTTGTTTCTGTGTCAGTATATAAAAAAAAAAGCAGCTAATTAATGCAGCTTTAAAGTTGGAGCGACAATAATCCTAATAAACTGAGCACCTGATTGAAACCAGAACAACACCGACGACATCGAGAGAATCGTGTGTTTTTACTGCCTTCTTCCAATTAAGGAGCTGCTGTTAATCACCCGGACGATTTTAATTCCCGCTTTACAACTAAATCAGTGAATATTAGCTCGTGTTTTATCTGTGAGTAAAATGGAGTCCATCCTCGTTCACCTTTTGTCAGTGAAGTTAGAAGCCACTAATGGTGGTGTTTCGATGGTCTGCACGTAGTTTGGATTAGATTTAAGACACAGATTGTGTTTTTTTTGTTTAGAATTCAACCCTCTGGACGCCAAAGCCTGCCACTGGGTTTAAAAGGCATGTTGTCTTTTAAAATAAATGGCCATAAATAAACCACCAAAGCCAGTAACCGTCTGTCCAAAGATCCTTTTACTTTTTATCTTCTTGTTCCTGTTGGAAAACTTCACCAAATCTCAGCTAAAAGTCGGGATGTTTCCTTGAGATAACTTTATTCTGTATGTCTCATTTAAGAATTGAACTCTTTGCATTAACCGAACTCTGTAAAGTACCCAAATTTCTGTGTTTCTCAGCAGAACCATGAAGCCGTCAGTGACTCAGCTGTGACCAGCAGTCATGTGATAAACATTCAGAGACCTTTCAGCTGAACTGCAGACACAGACCACATAGGAAACATGTTAAAGAAAGAAATAACAAATGTATGAATGACAGCATCTACAGGATGCAGAGCCGCTGTGGTTTCCAGTAGGTTCTGTCATCTTTGGAAAGACAGATAATCAAAGAAATTCAACTTTCCTTTATTGTGATTTATGCCGTCACAGCTGTCATCCTGCACCAAAGACGTGTCGGAGTCCTCTCTCCTTCTAGTCATGATTGTTCTGTTTCTGTGCAGGACTTTATATCGCGGTGAAAAATGGTTCCACGGTGAATAAACTCGCCGGCAGGTTTGAAAGCTGTCTTTAAAATTACACCATTTATCAACTGCAGAAACAGAGAGCGTGATCTGTGACACGCTGCTCTGTCGAGAAGTTTCACCAAATCTACCCTTAAAACCCTGTTTTTCTCACATTGTCGTGTAAGAAACAGGATATTGGTGCAACCACGAGGCCTTCAGCTGCAACCAGCAGCCATGTGGCGTTCAGGGACTTTTTTAATTGTTGCAGACGGATGATAAAAGAAATTCCTGATTTGTGCCATTAAAGGTTCGTTAGTGTTCAGACGACATCTCTGTCTCCTCCTAGTCATGTCTTTGCTGTTTCCATAGAGGTGCATGATGTGAAGAATGATCCCACAGCGAGTTAAAAACGCTGCTGGAGTTCAGCGGGTTGATGAATCTGACGTCCCGCTCATAACACCGCGTACGGTGATGCAGCAGGTCTGTATGTTAGCAGACATACCTGCGTATATGCAGCCTGCAAGTTTAGTTCACACGGACAGATACTGGAGATAGATGCAATTACACACTCCAGCCTGTGCACACAAATACACACAAATGCACATGCACACGCCCTCACACACACTCACACAGCGAGCCTGCACTGATAATGAGCTTTGGTGGTGTACTGATGCGTGTGTGCTGTTGGCACTGCTCTGATAGCACGTCAAATACAAGTTAATGAGAGAGTTGTTGTGTTTAACCACTTTCCCGGCGTGTGCGTGTGCGACTCCTCGGTACGCTGGAGTGTGTGCATGTGAGTGTGTGTGAGTGCATGTGAGTGTGTGTGTGAGCATCAAGGCAGACTATGGTGTTGTAATGACACACTCGGGGGACAGGCCTGTCAGAAGACTCACTCCACTCCGCTCATTGATCTCGCTCTCCTTCACACACACACACACACACACACACACACACACACATGCAGAATAATAACCATTAAGCAGTGACTCAGAACCTCCACACTTCCAGCCAATGAGAGCGGCTCACGACTCGTCGAGGTGCGTCCACCTCGGCTGCAGGGGAAGCAATCAAAGAGCGGAGAGGAAAGTTGCAGGGAGTAGCCAC